CTTTGAGATTTTTTTAAACAATATGTAATCAAAAATTAATCTAATTTTTTTTGATAAATATATTCTATAAATCTTCATATATTAAATATATTAATTTAATTGCAAGTTAATATGTAAAATTTTATGTAATTACATTTTAATTCAAATGTATCAAGTTAGTGTATCATGCTTAATAAGACGACCAATATATAACATGATTTACAATGTCTGAATAACTAGTCTCAAAGGATAGGAAGGTTTTACCGTATGAATTATTATATACCGGGCACTTAATCATTATAATATGGATCATACTTAGGGATATAAATCAAATTTGCTCCTAAAATCGTACAGCTCATTCTTAGGAAGAGTATACATATCATGAAACGAAAAATTTTTCAGAAAAATGATTTTGTATAAATAATTTTTGGATTGAAGATAGGGTAATAGGTTATGTATTAAGATTTCATAAACCATGTTTTCATTAGAACGAAATAAAATTTTTTTTTTAGGTAAACTTTCAAGTTATATGAATTTTCTTATTATTTTTGCGTTACAATCCGATTTGCCTAATCGGTGGTGATTTCCTTTATTTTTTTATTAGCCTTTTTTTTGATATGTACATACATGCACCTATCAATCTATGTTAAGTAATATAGTTCCGCAAAATGAAAGATAATGAAAGACAAATGGACCTTATTCTTCTGGATTATAATTTTCAGGAATGCATCTAGCTTGAGCACATGTAAAACAATTTTGTTTCCAAACATGACATTTATAATTAGAAGGACACACATTGCCGCATGTTGGATATATTTGAGAACACATGATGCATTCTAATATTTTCATTTATTAACGTTAGAGAAAGACAATTACGCATAAGTCAATAGATAATAAGTGAGAAAGGATAATTTCTTACGTTTAGGAGATTTGACGCAATAAGCGTCACCACAAGAATAACAGAAACGTTTCTGAACCCAGAGTTCTGAGGTATTGTTGCATGATTGACATGTAATTTCAGGACATGTAACACATTCTACAGTAATAATTACAAGTTGAACATTACTCATTAATGAAAACAAACGTTTTAAAGATATAATTTGATAATATACCCGGATCAACCTTAGGCTGACAAATCCATTTTGCACATTCAGAACAAGTGTTTTCAGATAAAATACAAACTTGATCGTCACCGCATTGCTGGTCGCATTCTCCTTCCGGTTGCATTGGGCAACTTAAGCATTGATTAGCATTACAATCATCTAATATAATCATATATATATGAATTAAATATTTAATAATAGATTAATGTAAGCACTGTTTTATCATTTACCAGCATTTACAAATACATGATCGATTGTAACAGCTAACAAAAGAGCCAGAGTGATAATAAAGATGAAATAAAATTTTAGTAACATTTGAAATAAAATGTATGATTAAAATTCGAGAGAATGGTGATTATAAAAAAGCATTAAGCTTTATATAATTAAATTTTCGCATTTATTTACATTTTAACTGCAGCCATTAATGTCTAAGTATATTTTCGATTAATGGATTAATGACAATTAAAATTTGCTGTACTGTATCGGTATATCATTTCTGATCGGGGAAAGTCACCTCATAGTACCATGTGATTATATTAGTAATAAAACGGGGGGTTTAAAAGAAAATCGTATATATTATCACCAGAATCATTTATAATAACTACTTAATCCATTAACATACTAATTAGTAGAGTTTAATCTTCAGTTTCAGATTTAAAACCGAATTATTAAATCAAAATCCGTTTTTATTTTGATTGGCAAAAGGAATAATACGTAAAAAACCAGCGCCAGATTAAATAATGCAATTGTATGTGGATCTGATTGGCTAATGCAAATCAATTGCCTGGGTAACTTATTTATATGTTTTAGAGTACTTTTTGAAGTGTCACTTATTTGTGTGAGTGATGCAAATCCAAAGTGATTATCCCGAATCAGCCCGACACGTGCGCAAAGCGAAGAAAACAGGAAAAAACCCCCGAAAAAAGCGAAAATACAGGAAAACATGTGTTTAAACCGTCTTGGAGCACTAATTAAAAATGACGGGAATGATTATTTGTTTTATCACCTCTAACATTATCCTAGCCCTAAGTTTTAATTTCACGAACTTAGTTTATTTTACGCACAAATAGTTTGAAAACGCAACATTACACAAGTAACCATTCCTAACAAACATCATCTTTAGTTTCGAAGAGTTGCTAGAAAGCTAACTTTAAAGTAATCTCTAATAATCTCGACGATCTCAACCACTCGCACTAATCGAACATACACAGAAAATACTTACTAAAATCATAACCCGTAGACGACAAAGTCTTATTCAAATATGAAATACTAAACTCATACAACTATGTAGCACTATCAAACACCTCAACAACCATTCCAATACACATCCTCCAGCACATAATAGAAAATGCTCAAACAAACAACAAGAACTATGGCTCTAATTTAAGAGGTTGGCTTGACAGCGACGTTTTGAATTTGATAAAAGAAAAAAAAAGCCCTTTTAAAAAAAATTTTATTTACTAAATAAAAACGGTTTTTAGCAGAAATAACGACTTTTTCTTTTTTTATAGATTAATAGATCTTAAGGCTGGTTTTTAGACGAGGCAAGGTTGTGATTAGAGAGGTTAGAATATAACGTTTAAGATAGACTTTAAGTTAGATTAGTTCTTTAAATGTATTTATATTTGTTAAAGGTCTAGGTTATGAATAGTGAAATATATAACGTGTTTAAATTAGTTAAGAGCGATTATTACCTTATTATGTTGTTATACATTTATAGACATATTTCTCAAATACATATTTTTCTGATTTCTTAACTTTCGTTTTCTCGTTTTTTTGTAGTTTTCATTAATATAATTAATAAATATATGCAATTTGATTGGTTAATAATCACGGGTAGATCTACAAAAATTAACCAACCAAACGAATTTCTGCCGAGGGATGATCCACTATGAATTGGACTTTTTAGGAACTACAGTAGTCCGAAACTAGACCTATAATTTTACTATTTAATACTAGAACGAATTCAATACAATCCATGTAATTAAAAATACAACAATATTTGTTCACTATTGTTCTATACATTAAACCGTTAGGATAGAGTATAAACTAGTTCTTATCTAGTTCGGGACGACTTAACATCCCTATTACACAATCAATGACAAAAACATTCAACCATTAAAAACAGTAGATTTATCATCATATATATTTATCATTACGAAAACTTTTAATAATTTTGATCTTTGCTCGTTTGTATTCAAGATCATATTTGCTTTGCAAGTTTAGTGTAGTATTATATTCGGAATTAATCCGATTTTGGATTTAAATTTGAAGGCTAAATCTGATTCAAAACTCTAAATAGAATATGTTAACTTTAAGTTGCGCATTTTCATAAATTTACATCAATGCATGAGTAGTAAAGAAAATGATCTCTGCTCTTTAACTAAACTCTGTACAACGTTTTTTCCCCAAATTTTGAATTTTGAACAGTTTGCTTTTACAAAAATAATCATGTATTTTTGACGAACGGATTGCAGATTAAAGTTTCTATAGGTGATAACTTAAAATTTATCATAATTACGGGAGCGGGAGTCTATATTGTATTGTAACTAGGTGCTTCGACTCGTTGTTGAACAACGGGTAGTGTAATACAAAATCACGTGGTGCAAGACAGATTGAACATCTAAATTTTTATAATATAGATATTAAATAAACATTAGTAAATATTCATTCGACTTTTTTAATGAATATTCTAATATTACAAAGATAGACCAAATTATGAATATCCAAATACATATGTATTTTCTGTCTGGATCGGAACTCTACTCTGGATTAATGAATATTCTTACGTTTGGGATATTCAACACAATGAATAGATTCGCAAGAATAACAGAAACGTTTCTGAATCCAGCATTCATAATTAGAGTTGCATGATGGACATGTAGCCTTGGGGCATGTAACACATTCTATATAACAATTAAAGCAGGAAATAAGTTAAACATTGAATTAATGAAAACTAATGCTTTTTGATAATAAATTTACTTGGATTTTCTTTTGGTCGACACGTATATTTTCCACACCGAAAACAAGTATTTTCAGACAAAATGCAAACATGATCATCATCGCATGGCGGATCGCATTTTCCCTTCGGTGGTATTATTGGACATGTTACGCATGGATTAACTAATACAAGAACATATATAAATAAAGGTTTAATTGGATCGATTGACAATTTATTAATTTACCATAATTTGCTAATGTATGATCGACTGTAACGATTGAGATTCAAAGCAATAGTAAAAGAAAATAAAATTTTAATGTCATTAGATAAAACATGTATTTTGAAAATTTCGAATTCAAGAAAGAGAAATTTATAAATTGATAGAAATATTACCTTTGAACTTAATATAATTAAAATGATGCGTCTATTAGGGAGCTAACACTTATTACGTAAATATAACCCCTTAGAGTCAGTTATTTGACACAATTACAAGTTCCAAAATAATCAATCGTTTGAGTTCTAAAATAACAAATCATATAAAGTTTATTTTATGATGACTTTAGAACTTGTAATTATGTCAAACGATTGACTCTGAGGAGGTTATATTTACGTAATAAGTGTTAGCTCCCTAAGTCATTTATGCTTCGAAATGACCAATGACCAATCATTTGTCATTTGGGCCATCTTAGGACATTTATCATCCCTATTTGATCCAATTATCCACCAAATATCGGATATCCAATAGATAAAATAGTTAAATGGTTAATGGATCGAAACACTATTCAATTGAAATGAAATTTTGTATACAGTATATGAGTGTTGCAGAGCGAAAAGCTGGAAGCGAATATTTAAGTTTTCATCATGATAAGTTTAGCCCATTTAGCCTTGTGAATTCTGATGTTACGTAATTAATCATGTATATAATCAGCGTCCTAGTCGTTTAGTAAAATTTCGTACGAACGTATCGTATTGTTTATCAGTACGTAATATCGAAGTTCTTCAGGGACCAAATTCGCCATGATGAGAACTTAAATATTCACTTCCAGCTTTTCGCTCTGCAGCACTCATATAGTATTAAATAGACAATTGATAGTAAACAAGTATAAGCGGGCTTTAGGAGTTAAATAGAAACTCAAGTATCGTTACGATCTGCGACAATAATTAATGAAACTATTCATAAAATATAAAAATGCATTGCAATATTCAAGAATCAAATTGGAACAAAGTCATTATAAAAACATAATAAATTCTATTTAAGTTAAAATTATTTTCAAAAAAGCACCTAACGGTGAAATTAAAAAATATTGACACAGGCTAGAAGTGAGATTTCCGAAATTAGGCCCTGTGACTTTTAATAATTGTGGTTTCAAATCATTAAGAGGCCTAGGCTACTGTAACACAAAGGATGTTGTCGAATAAAATACGTGATGCTGTGTAGAAGGGAAAGAGAAGGAAATGGGAGAAACCGAAGGATTGTAAATAATTAAGTAAAATCATATAAACATCTTTTAAAGCCTCGGAGAATCAGTTAAACTTTAAGAGTCTTGATTAAATGAACAGCCTATTAATTAATCAAAAAACCCCATCCGTCTTGCACTAATGTAAAAGATATAAAAGAGTTATATTTTCACCTTCGACCAGAATAATAACCTTTATTTCTATTGTGATAAAACTAGAGTTTCTTCTTGGTTGACATTTGGTTTTGATTTTGCTTTAAGTATAATTTATACGTCATTGTAGAATACGCAAATTTAACGACAATTGTAGCGGAATTTTTTTTCAGTTTGACACTTGATTTGTTGTATTATAAATGGATTATATCTATGCTCATGTAGGTACATGCAATGATGAAAAAAGTCTATGAAAATTCTTTTTTTTTATGTAAACATAAATTTACAGTAAAGTAATTATAATACAGTAATACCTCCCTAAGTGCACACTATAGACTAGTCCCGAGCTTGGGACTTAGTGCTAAGTGCACACCTCTATGTTCTGCACGTGCATAAGTTTTTATGACTCGGACTTATACTTGCACCCCATAAATGCACACATGCCAATAAAATTCAAGATTGTATTTACTAGTCAAACCACAAGTACAGTAAAACCTTAAGTGCACTCTCCTTAAGCACACATCCCTTTTAAGTGCATACTAAAGCCCAGTCTCAAGCTTGAAACTTAATGCTAGTATACCCTCCAATCTCTGCACGTCATAGGATTGTACAGCTTGAACCTATATATGAACCCTCTATAAATGCATGCATATGATTAAAATAAACGTTTAATCAATTAAAATGATAGATTTGTCAAATATTCTTGAAAGGTAGATAATAAATTAACACAAAAGATTATCGAAAAAGACATGAGATTTTATTAATTGTAATAATAAGGTAGGAAGAAATACTAATTCTATAAATGCACACCCTGATCCCAAGGGCGTGCACTTAGAGAGGTTTTACTGTAATTTCATAACGTAAATGATATTCTCTGAAATCCAATTGGGATAATTTTAATGTTCTGCACGCATTTAAAAAATGTCATAAAATAATCTTATCGTTATTAAAAACGAATATGCATGTAAAATACCAGAGGTTTTTAACAGTTGCCTTGCACTGTTTAGTATGCTGACTTGAATATTTTATGCCTTAATTATAATTGTATACAGTAGCAACACTCACAAATTAATTATATGTTTGGTCTTGAATTCAGAAATTGTGTACAATACATATACAAGATTGATGCACACGATGACTAGATGGTACTTAATTCTTCAATTGCCAATGTAGCAATTATCGATCGATGATTGTTCTTTGACTAATAAGTACGGCATAGAAAAATTATTTACTAGAACTATTTTTAATAAAAGTTTCGTGATTCGGGGTTCTGCCAGGCTGAGACGAGATTTATGGCCATGTACCAGTGTCACGACAAGGGAGAGACTTTACAACCGTAATGCCAATTTAGTTGCAGGTCGTAAACATTAAAATATTTAGTGCAGGTAAGAGATCGATTTATTTCAATTGAGCGAAAGCCCTCCCATATTTGCAATGAATAACCCTATTTATAGTTATTCTATTATGCTCAAATTAACTTATAAAAAATGTAGTCATAATTTGTAATGCTACTAGAAATGTCGTAATGATCGAATTAATAATAACTGTGTATTAGTATAATGTTAATTACAACATCATTTTTCGTAACACCAGACATCATAGTCTTATTAGAAATCTGGATATGTGTCCACAATTTATGGTTTGTCCTGATGGAGTAGTGATTTGGATAGGATCGAAAGTCGAAGCGAAAAATTTACTAGCGTTAGTGTATCTAATATTCACAATTTGATTGGTTTATTATCACATGATTTTCTCGCTCCGTATAAGGAAGGTGACACACGATCTTCATTTAAAAGCGAATTTTACGTTGACATCGAATCTTTTAGACTCGGTTTATATAATGCAAGAATCCAAGAGGTAGGTTAAATTTTTCGGTTTGTTTCTCGAATTGTTAGATAATCATAACAATAATAAGCACTAATACTTTAATTATATTTCAGCAAAAAACGTAAAAGAGGAAATAAAGAGAAACAGTTACCAGAAACCGAGGTGCAAGAAGAAGAGTTGTCAGAAGATGCCATAAGGCAACAAATCAAAGAATTTAACATTAAATTGGATCAGGCAATTATATTATGAATAATTTTATCATTCTTGATTATCTTTCTAATCCATGTAACTTTAAAATTTCTAGAATCAAAAGGATGTTAACTTATGGCTTGAATTTATTGCATTTCAAGATAAAAGTTTACATTTTGGAAAAAGTAAAAAGGCTGATGCTTCTATTACAAGGTCAAGCATTAATGAAGTGAAAATTAGTATCTTCGAGAAAGCCTTAGAGACAAATCCAAATGATACTACCCTTCTTATTGCTTACATGAAATGCTGTCAAGAGCATTGGGAGTATGTGTTTAAACTTCATTTATATACTGTAAATGTATGCATTCTAACAAATATATTACTGTTAATGTTATAAGTATAACAAAAGTACTCACAAAATGGGATCAAATTCTCAAAGAGAATTCTAGAAACATTAGTCTTTGGATGAAATATCTTGATTTTCGGCAAACAAATCTTGTTTCTTTTACAGTTAGTCAGTGCATTCAAGTCTTTGAAGATTGTTTGCATTTGCTTCGAAAGGAAGTCGTAGTATGTGTTGGTGGGTTGTTTTCTTTAATATTTGGTGAATATATATCTATATTCATTCATGAAATTTTCTATATTTTCTTATTTAGAAAAACTTAAAATTGAGCAGATAATGATACATATTTTCCAACGAGCTTGTTTTTTTATGTTACAATCAGGTATGAAAATCTTTTCCACCGTTATTGATTTGTCAATTGCATTTTTTTTTATTCATATTATAATAAGAAAGTTTAACTAGGCTACACTGAAAGAGCATATTCATGTTGGCAGGCAATGATAGAGCTTACTTTTTTTGCCCCAGAGGAAATACAACAAAAAGATTTTTACGATCGTGTAGTTGCTTTTGAAAACTTTTGGGAAGCAGAATGGCCTCGTTTCGGAGAAGATGTATAATTGATTAAACTTGCTTTGTTTTTTTTATTACATGCATTTAATTTATCAATAATTATATTATATATACTGGTTACTAGGATGCTAGAGGGTGGTCTTATTATTTTGAGAAAGGTATATACTTGATATATATCTTTATCAAGTCTTTGATTTTTATACTTTCGAGTGCTAACATAGTTTATATTTTTTTTTAAGACGTTGAAAGTTTTGAATCTTCTGATGTTACCTCTAATCTTTTAGCAAATATATCATCTGAAGGTTAACAATGTTATATATTATTCGTCATAAGATACTTTATTTGTAAACCCTATTAATAATTTCTTTCTATAGGCGATATGTACGAGAAATGGGCCGAAGCTGAGATCGCTTATAACTCTCAATTGCTTTCTATGCGTTCAAGTACGTCCTAACAAAAAGTATCGTTAACTTATTATTTTACATTATATTATGACAGATAATAATATATATATATTTTTTCAAGGTAATTATTCTAATTTAGAGGATCCTTACCGTGTTGTTATATTTGACGATATCCGCACGTTTCTATTTGATTTAACGTCTCATCAATCACGTATTGAGCTTATATATACTTGTCTTAATTTTACTGGCTTGACATATAATTTTGGACACTCGTCATTGAGTTCGATGATTACAGACGTGTTTCTATATAATAAACTCTCAAATGAGTCAATTGAAAATGTCAGTTTCTGGTCTACAGACACATCTGTTACTCGCACCTTTACATTTCCAATCAAGGCATTCCCTCAAGATGAAGTTACATTGTTCAATTCGCAAACTTGGTTCTCTATTTGCAATGATGTTGATATTATGGACGTTAACATGAATTTTTCTAGGTTAGCTATTATTGGGTAATTCTATGATGAATAGTGTAACGATCTGATGCTGATTTTATACCTTCATTCAGGAATGCTTTTTATCAATTACGACAGGTTGTAAATGATACAGAAATAAAATTATGTCGTCTATCACTTGAATATCTTTACGATGCATCAAGGTATTGGATCCACTAGACATATTCCCGTTTGTAAAGCTTTTAATTTAGCTCGATTCATATAAATATTTTAGTGGGCGGAATCTTGCAAAGAATTTGCTCAAACGCGACACCATGAATCTTTCACTTTGGAATGGTTATGCTCAAGTAGAAAAATCTTCAAATAATATTTCTGAGGTATACTTCATATTTCAAATGTATTTTGTTTATGAATGAATATTATGGGATTAATTTAATTCTCGTGAAATTTAAGGCACGTAAGGTTTATTTGGGAGCTATCGCTCAATATCGCACATTTCCTGAACAATACCGTATTATGGCACCATTATTACATCGATCATTCGCAGAAATGGAAATAGAACAGGGCCGTCATAAGACTGCGATTAGTATCCTTTTTGTGTTGAAATTCATTCGTCTACTAGTTTATTTTATTTTTTGTCTTTAATCCTTGACATTACATTTATAGATATTCTCATAAATTTGACTGAAGATCAGGGGACGACAGGTATGTTCATATACCACGAGTTTTCTATAACTCTTTATATACATTTCTCATTGATATTTGAAAATATTGTCTTTTTCAATAGATTCAATTTCTGAATCAGATGTCTCTACCACAAAGTTACTGAGGGCCAGAAAGGTAATTTTCAGATAGAAGATTATTAATTTATCAATAGCTTTGATGATTATTTGATTTTTATATTCAAATGTTTTTTTCGTAAAATCTATAGTACTATTCACAGCAAATAGCACGAATTACAACTCCTTTAACTTCACAGATTGAAACACGTAATTCACTACATTACTGCGTATGTTATGCATTGTTAGAATGTCTTAGTCAGAATTTACAGCAAGCGAGTAAAGTATTTGAAGACATGCTACATTACTTGGAAATTAGGAGTGATAATGTTAATGTCGAGACAGAGTGGCTATATATGTCATATCCTTTTTTTTTTTGGTGCAATTAATAATAAATAAAATTGATAGCAAATAAATATTAATATCTTAACTTGATTAGCACTTATGTAAAATTAATTTTTCAACAATCATTTTCTGAAAAATTTGTATTAGACAATGAGCCTGGAAAATTATTACAAGAGGTACTTTCAAGAGCATTACGTCTATTTCCAAACAATACTATATTTTTATCATTATATTTCCATGAAGAAGTTCGTGGAATGATACCCCGTGGATTGAACTCAATTTTAAATGAGGCCTTACAAAAGTATTTTAAGCATCTATACATATTATTATTTACTCATTAATAATTATTATTTAGATATTTTTTCTTTTGTTTCGTTTTTATTCAGGAGGCCAAATTATATTTTATGGACTATTGCCATATATATGGAATTACATAACCAACAACCATGTGATATTAACCGTGTTCGAGCGACATTCGATAAAGCATTAAATTGCATCACGTATTTACTTATTTTATTTCTTTTAGTCGTTTGGCGATTCATAACATTAATCAAGTTTTTATTTTGTATAGAACAAGAAATTCTATAGCATTATGGATTTTGTACATAAATTTTGAAATTAAATATGGCGAATTAAATAAAGTCAAAGCTATATATTATAGGGCCATAAGAGAATGTCCATGGTCAAAGGGTTAGTGTTATAAAAATAGATTGATATTATTTTAACATAACTTTGATATTTAATCTTTATCTATTCTTATTAGATCTTTATATGATTGCATTTAAAAAATTGCGTGCTCAATTTACATCAGATGAATTGGAAGAAATTATGAGTGTGATGTTAGAAAAGGAGATTAGAATAAGAGTTCAAATTGAACATTTTACTGATAAAGTATCTGAATTTTTATTTAAAAATTTTTGAACTTTTTTTAAACATATATAAACCGTGATGACATTCTGAATTAATATTAGTGATTAATAAATGCAACTAATAAATTTATGCTCAATTAATAATAGCTTTTTTTTTAAAAAAAAAATAACTTGATTGAATATTTTGTTAATTTCTATTCGTGGCAAAAGTTTGTAGTTATTTATAAATTTAGATAGGGTATCTAATATTTTTTAAAAAAACCTTTGTTAGAAGAGGACGATAATTACAGTCTCATTATCAGTTATCTCAAGATTTTTATAAAATTTTCCGTACCCTCTTTTTCAATAGATCTGTTTGAACTTTAAAAATGATGTTGTAATTACTATATTATGTTGATTTACATTTCTGTAGATTAATAGCCAGGTACACTGACTCTCATAATTATTGTTCCATTTCTTTTTTTTATTTTAGATCACGATATTTAACGTTTTATAAATCAT